TGTAGGAATTGTACCAAGCACCCTATATTTACAAGAGTATGCACAAGCATACATCTCAGCCAATCACAAGAACATATACAATTCGCGAATACTCACAAACATCCATCTCAGTCAAACGTATGAACAAACATAATTAGGCAATTCACGCACAAACATCCGATTCAGTCAAACACAGGAAGAGACAACTATTAAAATGACATACATACAAACATACAAATCAATCAAAAGCAATAACGAGCATCATGGGGTGAACTGACAAAAAATGAGAAGCCAAAGGACAGTTCGCGCTAACGACTGAAGCTGACCGGTGGTATTGATTAATACTCCCAAGTTTTACCTTTAAACATTAAACTAAAGTTAAATAAATATCTAATTAGAACTAATCTATACTAAACTAAACGACTTAAGCTAAATAAATGGCTAAAACTAGTACTAAATGTTAACCTAATTGAAATTAAACTATCTTAAATTAAACTATATTCTATAAACCACCAAAAATACGTGTTTTATTAATTAAAACCTACATTTATGCCATTGATTATATCTTCTTCAGAGAGAGCTAACGTTCCAATATTAAAAATAGGGTGTGCGTCACTCAAGTTCTTACCAAGCAAATTTCCAAGGCCACTACTAGAAAGATCGACGTCACGAATAAAGTTAGAAAATAAAAAATCAGCAAAGAGATTAGCAGCTTCCGAAACTGAGTTAACTGTGAACTCCTGATAAAAAACCGAGGTAGGTATACTTGAAACTTTCTTTTTCGAATTCACGTATTGCCAGAATCTTTTAGGTGACTTTTGATTTTGTACCAAATTTGCGTACATACTCCCTATAAAGAGATTTACCTTTGAAAAAGTACGGTTTAGATTTAGATGCGGATTGCTTCTCACATGGTCAAATCTATGTTGCGTGTCGGCGAACATGCCACAGCAATGCGTGGCAGGGTACAGCTAGTGAATAAATAAATTATATATCAGCAAAATGAATAAAATGAAATTAAATTAATGTTTAATTTCTAACCAAACCTATGTACATATGTAACTCAATCGCCTAATGGTTTACCGTGGCGTACACATATGTTTACACATGAAATTTTGTGAGTTCATGGTACTCACACCTTTTTTAAATTAATCTGAAAATCTTCGACAGTTTGAATTAATCCCGCTCATTATCCACTGTGTGCCGGTCTTGCTTTTTTAACCGACTGTACGAAAAGGAGAAGGTTCTCAATTCCTCAAAATATTTTATTATTTATTATTTATCTATTTTTTTTTNTATGTAGTTTGCAACGGCTTCTGCAGTTTAGAGAACGTTATCTTATGACATTTCTTAATATTAAGAGACAATCTATTCATAACGCACCAATTCTGCAACATGTCAAGCTCAGCGTGAAGCACAAATGAATCCGGGGATTCATTATGACTGAATAAATGTTAAGATCATCAGCATAAAGAAGCAGCTGAAAAGCAAGATTTGATGTCATTAATGTATAAAAGGAAAAATAAAGGACCCAAAATGCTTCCTTGGGGTACGCCAGACGCAGGCATAAAAGATTTAGAGCGGACACCATCTACAACTACGGTCATTTTTCTATTTGCTAAACAAGCCTTTATCCACTGTAAAATCACAGAGTGAAATCCAAGATGGACAAGTTTCGCAACCAAAATTTTGTGAGAGATCCTGTCGAACGCCTTCGAAAAGTCCGTGTAAATAGTATCAACTTGAAAGCCATTTTTAAACGCGGTAAAGCAATCATCAGTAAAAACAGCTAGGTTCCATGCACAAAAGCCATGTTGATTCGCACAGCGCACGTTCTTAATATTAAAAAATAGTTTGTCTTTCATCACACATTCAAACAGCTTTGAAACAGTTGGTATCTTTGAGATAGGCCTATAATTACTAACATCGCTTTTGTTTCCACGTTTAAAGATGGGCATGACTGACGTTAGTTTCCTGTCATCTGCACACACCCGAGGAGAGTGACCTATTAAACATAATTTTCAACGGTGCGGGTAATGAAAGGCAGCTTTTCAATAAAACCACTGAGATGCCATCTACGTCAGTGTGCGCAGAATATTTTAGATTATTTATGTAGGAATTGTACCAAGCACCCTATATTTACAAGAGTATGCACAAGCATACATCTCAGCCAATCACAAGAACATATACAATTCGCGAATACTCACAAACATCCATCTCAGTCAAACGTATGAACAAACATAATTAGGCAATTCACGCACAAACATCCGATTCAGTCAAACACAGGAAGAGACAACTATTAAAATGACATACATACAAACATACAAATCAATCAAAAGCAATAACGAGCATCATGGGGTGAACTGACAAAAAATGAGAAGCCAAAGGACAGTTCGCGCTAACGACTGAAGCTGACCGGTGGTATTGATTAATACTCCCAAGTTTTACCTTTAAACATTAAACTAAAGTTAAATAAATATCTAATTAGAACTAATCTATACTAAA